CCTCGTGGTTGCATAGGCTGATGTGCTTCTCCCATGTGGGCTTTGTTGCTTCTGAGCTTGATGGCCGCTTGATTACCTTCAAGCCTTTAAGATCCCAGATGCTATAGTTTTTGATAGCTGGGCACCATCAGCTTTCTTCGCCACATTTGCTTATGCACCCATTTGTCTTCAGTGAGATGGCATATGTTTTGTTGTGTATACTTTCACCACAATCAAATTAAAAAGTAAACAAAAAGACTGTTTAAGGTGGTAATTTATCACTCATTAATCATGACTCTAATTTACTTGTTAATCATTACTCTAATTTATCAATGATTATTTTAAAGCTTTTACTTTTTAAAAAGAAAGCTATTTTGTGAACTAAGTATTGTAGTACTTTTAGGCTTGCTTTGTCCAAATAAGTTGGCATTGATATATATTTTTTATCCACATAGAATTTTAGTCTTTATACTTGTTTATGTTCTATAACTAGAAACCCCAATGGCACAGTGGTTAAGCTCTCAGCGGCTAACCCAAATGCTAGTGGTTTGAACCAACCAGCCATTCCTTCAGAAAAAGATACAGCCGTTTGTGTCTCTGGGACAAGTCTCTTCTGTGCAATTGTGTCACAATGAGTCAGAATCAACTTGTTAACACTGAGTTGTTTTGTGTTTATATCTTTGTACTAATGCCTTTTGTTTGCATGCACCTTGTTGACCTACATTAAAGGGTTTCAGGGGCCACTGTGAAGTTGTTTGCTGCTTCATTGCAGAGGGCTGTAATCCTGAGTGTTAGGAGGGGCATGTCAGCATTTCTCAACACCCAGGTCTTTAGCAATTAAGGTGTGGCATCGCAAATACTAAGGAAGGCTAATTCAAGTAAAACATGTTTCTGTTCTGCATCTTCCATTGTGTAGTAAGGTCTTTAAAATAGAAATTCTAATCCTTAGATACAGAAGGGGACAGAAAAGCAAAGCAAAAAATACTATCTCATATGTATGGATTGTGATAAGAGCTGTATGAGCCCCCAGTAAAATGATTTAAAAAAAAACAAAACAGAACAAACATACCATCCCATGTCAAAAGTCATATACTAAATCCAAACCACACTCACTGCCACCCAGTCAGTGCCAACACATAGCCACCCTATAATGCAGGTAGAAAGGAACTAGAAGCCCCATCTTCCTCCCTCCACCAGTCTGGTAGGAAGACATCTACAGACCCTAAAAGTTCTTGCCCGCAAAGTACCAGGCATTGAATTTTCCTTCATCTCTGCCAAGTCCCAGCACTTCAGAGCAGGCTTCCCAACAGGGACTGAGAGAAATGTTGGAAAATGCTGCTAAGTGACAAGGGTACATTAGTGCTGTGGCTTTATCTCTCTTCTTGCTGGCTGCTTTATTTATTTATTTTGGTTACTGTTGAGAATACACACAACAGAACATACAGCAATTTCTGTACAATTCATTGATAATATTCTTTAAACTGTACATCCATTATCACATACCTTTCAAAAATCCCTTGCCATTAACATAAATTCATTGGCCCTGTGTTTTCTATCTGATGGTTCAGGTCCTAGCTAGTCATTCAGGTTGCTTTTGTCAGTTTGAGGGAGTGGAGGTTACAAGTCAGGATTGGCCAAGCACAAGGTCAGAAGCTCGAAAGCACCAGCCACTCCTTGGAAGAAAGATGAAGATTTCTACTTTACTCGAGTATGGTCTGTAAAATTGATTGTGGTGATGATTGTACAACTCTTCTTCATATGATTTGTGGTAAACTGAGGGACTCGATGACAATGTAGCACAGCTAAATCATCCATGCTCTTAACTGCGGGCCTGGGAAGCCAACTCTGGTGGGGGAAGACTCTCAGGGTTATGAGATATAAATAAATCTTAATATACATTTTCATGACTGGACACACTCCCTCCAATAACCCCCCATAAAGGAACTGTCATAAGGAGCTACTCTATAAGGTGAATTATTTCTGTGTCTGGCTACTGCACAATGCTTAAAGTTTTTCTGTCGATTAAAGCAATCAGGTTCTATACCAACCCACCATAAATGTAGCAGCCCCTTGGGAAGGGCTTAGGTGGATTTGAGGCCAACTGGCACTAGGTCAAGACACTGACTCATCTTATTGCTTGTTTATTATGTTACCTGCTTATGATATTACCTATTGATTATGTCTGATGTTAGCTGTGTGATGTGCATGCCTTATGAAAGATCCGTAAGCCCCACTAGATATACCATTGGAAAATACATTCTAGTTCTCAGTCCTAACATGGGATGATGAGCCCCTGTGCCCCGCTGCCTGTCGTCTGTCTTTAATATTTTCCATAATCGCAGAGTCGCTCCTGAGGTCCCATTCGAGTGTTGGGGAACCCCTCATCCTGACAATGATTCAACTATTGAATTGTATGATATGTGGATTATGTTCCAATAAAACTGTTAAAATAAATCAAATCAATTAATTAAAAATAAATGAAGGAGTTACAGTCTCAGAAATCCACAGAGGCAGTTCTACCTTGTCCTATAGGGTCGCCATGAGTCAGAACTGACTCAATGGCAGTGAGCTTGTGAGGGAAACGAATGAGGTCAATGTAAGTTGTAATTGACTTGAGGGCAGTGGGTTTGGTTTGGTTTTGAGATGACTTCAAGGGGTAGCTTTAGTTTGTTTTAAGGTACTCAAGAGAACTCAAATATCAACTATAATGTAAGGAGAACATTAATAAGTCTTAAGATAAAGACACATTATCTGGATCAGGGAGACCATTAGCACAAAGTTGTAATAATGTCCCAGGATTTGCAGAGCCTCTGGGACTTAAAAAGGAGACGCCAGATTAAAAAAAAAAAAAAAAGGATATGGTAGAGCAAAGGAAACTGTTACAAAAGCATGATTGGGAAATGGACCATGACTGAGATACATACATTATGTTAGAAGAGCTCACAAGATTTGTCCAGGGCCTTTTGACCTCAGCAGTCAGGGAATGATTCATAACTATGGGACCTCCTGTCTCCATCAAGGACACATCCAGGCAAGCCCCTAAAGGAGACTGCACACTTGTGGGCTAGTTAGGAAGGTGAAGAAAATTTTCTTTTCTTTGTATTCTGCTTGAGGATAAGATGGCTCACCTCCCTGGCTAATAGAAGGAATTTAACAGAATCTGAATCCAGCAGGGGACTCTGTAAATGGACTTTGGCCTTTCACTATTAATCACAGCTTCCTGAAAACCTAGTGCCGAGAATTTAAGCTCTCAAATAGATGTAAAGATTTAAGGTTTAAAGATGATCTTAGGGCAATGATTTCAAGGGTTCATCCAGCTTCCATGGATCCAGGAAGTACAAATTCCATGACTATTTGATTAGGAGTTGTGGTAGTTACAGAATCTGGTGTCAATTTGGGACTTGAGAGGATTAAGAGTGAAGGGGTGGAGTCTAGTCTGTCAATCAGGTCACAGCCAATGAGGCCCTCTGTGTGGGCATGACTTCCTGAGAATTCTGGGAAATCTGCTCCCTCCCTGGGAGACATTGCAGCTGACAAGACACATGGTACTGCACTAGTGCCCTAAGCCAGAGAAGTCACGTAGAGACCCCTGTCAGCACTGAGATGCTTACAACACCACTGGATCCAGAGGACTTCCAACCTACTGGCCTGTGATCTTCCTTCATTTGTGTCATTGTATGTGTTTCATGAGTCTGAAGAGGACTTTATAGATTGGTATCAGACATATGGGCTAGTATCAGACTTATGGACTTGATCTGGACTGGGTTGGGATGCTTTCTTAATATACAATTACCCTATATGACAAAATAATAATAATTTATAAATTATCAAGGGTTTGTGAAGGATGGAGGGGGGCAGGGAGGGGAAAAATGAGGAGCTGATACCAAAGGCACAAGCAGAAAGCAAATGTTTTGAGAATGATGATGGCAACAAATGTACAAATGTGCTTGACACAATAATGTATGTATGGATTGTAATAAGATTTGTACAAGTCCCCAATAAAATGATTTTTTTAAAAAGAAAAAAAAGTACAATTACCCTTTATATAAACCTTTATATATACATATGTGTGTTTATGAATTTGTTTCTCTGGTTTACCTAGACTAACACAGGAGTCTTCTACGCAATCTTTGATAAAAATGTTTAGGAATGTAGTCAGTTATCATCTTTTGGTCTTATGGCAAGGGAAGCAATTGCTCACTGAGGCAATCAGCCACATATTCCATTTTTTTCTGAATCTAAGGCGCCCACCCAATGGCATAGAGGGTCATGCATAGTGAGATATGTGTTGTGGTGCTAACCACAAGGTCAGCAGTTAGAAACCACAGCCTCTGTGAGGGATGGGGCTTTCTATTCCTGTACGGAGGTACACTCTCAGAAACTCACCGTTCTAGTGTGTCCTGTGGGGTCACTATGCGCCTGAACTGTCTAGATGGCAGTGAGTTTATTTTAGGACTCCCGACTCTCCTTTCTCCAGGCAAATAGAGACCAGTTATTATATTTTCAATGGCTGATGGCTTCTCGCAAGTTTTTAAGATTCTGAGCACTATGCTACAAACTGGAAGGTAGGAGGTCCCCTGAAGCCATAAACCTGCAAACCAAAGAACTAAATCCCACGATGTGTTTGATTTCATGCGAGCAGCCTCAGCAGCTATATCTGGTTGCTTTCGATGCTTACGTTCTGCCTTTGGCATTCTCAAGTTTCATGATGAAATGACGAAATATGGATTTTGACTAGGTGTGAATTTTAAAATTATGCTTAAACTTCACTGGGATTTTCTTAAACTTGTTTATTGATTTCTATGGGTGGCAAAACAATGCACCATCCACCCTATCCCCGTCCCCCAATCCCAAGATGTTTATATCCTAATCCATGGAGTTATTTCTTCCATCTGTTTAGATCCAAGGTCAAGATAAATTTTCTTGTTGTTTTCTGGCACTGGCAAATTTTATTATTTATTTTATTTTTACATAAATTAACCCATTTATGACAGGCCAGAGCCTTTCAAATAGCAGAGCTTCTACTGGTCTTTCAATTCCTTCAGACTTCCGATGGCGGACTTTGCTGTGACCACGAAGGTGGTGGTGTAGGGACATCCAGCTACTGTTCTCAGGCAGGAGCCACAGTGCCGAATCCCCACAGCTCGGCTCTTCATTTGGGTTTTGCCACAGAAGGAACAAGTATACTTGGCATGTTGGCTGATTTCAATTTTCCTCACCATTTTCCAGAGGGAGGCACCGTAATAGGTCCCATATTTACCCATAATCCCAACCTTCTTGGTGCGTTTGGCCAACTGGCCACAAACTAGCTATAAGCCAGAGAGGAGCGGATTTATTTTTTTATGAAGATGTGGACTTTTATGTCCTAAGTATGGGGATCACCTACTAGGTTCCCTACCTTCATTGGGGCTTTAAGTGTGTATCTGACACCTACACATTTCATTGACATTAGAACTGTAGGTCAAGGTCGGTCGCCAAAGTTCCAAAGAGCCCCCCACCAATAAATCTGTCTTTTGTATTTGTTTACATCCTAGATTCCTACTTTCACTTCACTTTTGACCTCTGAGTGGTAAATTTTTGCGAGTCCAAAAGTATACTTAAGTAATCTTTTTCATGTAATATTTTTGTATGTGTATGTGTGGGAGGGTTATTCTAATAGTTTGCATGTGAGTTATTTTGTGAATATAACTGGTCATATGCATGTAAAAGGTGGGGAATGAATTCGGAAGACCAAATTTTGAATTATGGTGTTGGCAAAGAATATTGAAGGTTCCAGGGACTGCCAGAAGAACAAACAAGTCTGTCTCGGAGGAAGTACAGCCAGGATGCTCTTTAGAGGCAAGGATGGTGAGACCATCTCGTGTACTTTGGATTTACTAAAGGCCTTAATGTAAGTATTAGCAAGTCGGAGCAAAGACCTCCTTCTGCCACTTGTGCGTTGCCTGCACTCTCATGCCACAGTCAAATATTAGCCGAAACCTCCAGCCTAACTCCTCAGAGCTTCTCAGCAAAACTTCTAGTGCAGAGACTAGACCTAATATGCAACAGATCCATAAACCTAGTAACAAGAGAAACCTGCCCAAACTGCAGTAAAGTGAAATTACTTGGTATGTTTTCTTTGCCCATAGTTTTATAGCACCCAACCAAGGACTGGGTGAGAGAATGCAAATAGAGGGTTTGGAACTAATATAAGGAGATTGGTCAATTTGCCATTCTGCTGGCTATAAAGGTGCTATCTCAGAAGCAGGAAAGGAGAATCTCATGAGCATCCAGAATGAAAAGCCACGGAGCAGAGCAGGTCTGAGATCCCTGTGTAGAGAGGTGGAAACCGTGGTGGCAGCATCAGAAAGATCAAGGGCCGCAGGTCCCTGGCTCACGGATCTGGGGAAGCTGAGTACTTAAGGGCAGGAGGCTGGCTTGCAGAGTGGGGTGCCCTTTGGGCACTTATCGCAGGAAAACAACTTTGTTAACACTTGCCTGAACAGGACAGATAAATACTACCATATATCCTCGAGTATAAGCCTACCCGAATATCAGCCGAGGCACCTCATTATACCACAAAAACTGCATTAAAAATGTGCCGGAAAAACTAGGCTTTTACATGAGTATATATGGTAATTACTACATTCAGAGGTAATCAAGACTATATTTAATCTACTGACTAAGTACAGAGCACTATAAGGTTTGGAGACTCAGAATAAGAGCCCAAGTGTAGAATAATGACAGCAAAATTACAAATTCAGCAGGAGGGGTGAAAAATAAAATTTAGGCCATTCTTTCCAATGTAGCTATAAAAAAACAATAGTGGAAGATAAGAAAGAAATGTTAAGAGGCATTAAACACCAGTTTAGGAAATCTAACACTTAAACATTTAGAGTCTTCCAAATAATACATAATGGAGTGGTGAGGGGGTGCTAGTGAAGAGGAGGAAGGGAAATCTCAGAAATAATGTAATAGTGCAAAATGAATTAAAAATACTCTCACCAGCACAATTCTTGCGTGAGATTACATTTCCAAGATTACAGAATCTATCCTAGACATTCCTATGAAATAAAAAAGGACACTTGAAATGGGGCTAACAAACAGTAACGCATCCGAATCACCGACTATTAGAAAATAGCGGAGGAATGCCTTGAAGGTTTGGAGGAAAATGTATTTTTAAACTAGAATTTTGAATCCTGAGGTAAATGTAATTTTAACCTAGAATTTTGAATCCCGTGTTATGGCTTGTTAGCGTTCCTGTAAAGACAGGGTGATGTCATAAACCCTGGGCTGTGGACATGACTTTCTTTGGAGATAAGGTCAACATAAGGTCATGTTGAAGTAGGCCGGGCCCTAATTCAAGGTGAGCCTTAATCCAGTCTAAGCAGGACCCATATAAAAAAGCAGAGACCCCAGAGGCAGATGGGGGGACACCTACCAGTCAGAGTGCAGGACCATGGATGACTTCTGGCTCTTCTAGCCATAGTCAGGCTTGTCAATCCACCGAAAGACTTTTTTGTGACAGGTCTGGGTCAGAAGGTGGAGCAGATACTGGGAGAATTACAGCAGTGTATCCCAAAGTGAGTGATATTGTACCCCTGGGTGGTGTTAGAATGATCCGGGGTGGAGGTGCGGGGAGGGGCTGGTGTAGGGAGAGGGGGCGTAGGGAGCAAAAACAGATTTAAAAAAAAAAAGCAGTTCCCCACACTTTCTCTTCCTCAAGTGCTGCTATGAGTTGGAATAGACTCGAGGGCGGTGAGTGAGGCATTTTGTCCTGGATTATGAGGCGCAGTACAAATGTTTTTCATTGCTGGGTTGCTGGGCGCGGGCTGGGGTGGGTTGCGGTCGGGGTCGGGTAGTGAGTAATTTTATTTTTTTTTCTGAAAAGGGGTGGACAGTAGGCTAAATAAATTTGGGGAGCTCTGGAGCACCTGATTCAGCCATGGGTGAAGAGGATTTAATAGATTGGTATCAGACATACGGGCTAATATCTGTCTTGTGGACTTGAACTGGACTGGGCTGGGATGTTTTCTCAATATTTAATTGCTCTTGTATATAAAGAGTGTCTATGAATTTGTTTCTCTAGTCTACCCAGACTAACACAAGCTTTTAAAAAATCATTTTATTGGAAAACAACAACAACAACAACAACAACAACAACAAATCATTTCATTGGGGGCTTGTACAACTCTTATCACCATCCATACATTCATCCATTGTGTCAAGCACTTTTGTACATTTGTTTCCCTCATCATTCTCAAAACGTTTTTTTACTTGAGCTCTTGGTATCAGCTCATTTTCCCCCCTTCCTTCCCGCTCCCTCCACCCCGCTCTCCCATGAACCCTTGATAATTTATAATTATTATTTTGTCATATCTTATACTGCCCAACGTGTCCCTTCACCCACTTCTCCACTGTCTGTCCCCCAGGGAGGAAGTTATATGTAGATCCTTTAATCTGTTCCCCCTTTCTCCCTCACCTTCCCTCCACCCTCCTGCACAAGCTTTAATACCATTCTCTCCTCCGGGTTTGGATTTTAATATTTACAGTTCTTGGATCACACATGCTTGTATGCTTCTTCTGTGTGAACTTAGTTGATACTCAATTTAGATGGCTGCTTGTTTTAAGAGAAACCTTTAAGACCCAAGATGCTATTTTCTGCTACCTGGGCACCATCTACTTTCTTCACCACACTTTGCTACAGCACCCATATCTTCAATAATCTCTTCATAGGGGTAGGTATTGAGGAGGGCCAAGTCATAAGAATGAACTATTCTTACATTGGGGCTATGTTTAAGTGCAAGCTCAAAATTCATTCATATAGCTATGGCTTATATATGTCCCTGGTTCACTTTAAAGACATTTATTTTATTGAAGGACATTACAAATGATCTCCATGGGGCATATGGTAGTTCTATTGATATTATGAAATTAGCCACTGGTGTAGAATTTAAAGCACTGTCAAGAAAAAGTAAGTATACATGTATAGGATAGTTTTCTAGACTGAAGTATATGGATTGTTTTGTACAGATGAACAACTTAGGTGACTTGGCACTATTTTGAATTTCTGTTGTCATAAACCAACTAGTTTGTGGTACTTTGTATGGCTGTCCAGGAAGTGAATACACTCAGTTAAAACAGAACCAAATGGCAGGGTGGGGAGGGATCCAGCGTAAACCTTGCTCACTGAGGTGCGCAAAGCTTAGCAGGGTGTCTTTTTAAATAAAAATTTCTGACCTAGAATTTTATCACCACATTCAGATTTGACTTCAACACACCTTACAAACTAATCATAATGAAGGACGTATGCATGATAATACTGTCACAATTTTGCTTACTACCATCACATACGCAGTGAACCTGACTTGCAAGATTTGCAACTTTGCTCTCTTCATGACTAACCCATCAGATGCTAAACACACCCAGCTGTCCTTCTGACTTGAAGAAACTGTTGAGACCATTGCTATTTTTTCCCCTTTTCTTTCATTGTAGGTTCTCTATGAGCATTGAGAGAGCTTAACTTTTTAATATTTAAACTAAACTTTCAAAATTCATGTGGTTATACACCTACTGCCATCAAATTGATTCCGACTCAAAGGTTTTCTGAGGCTGTAAATCTTTATGAGCATATAGCCTCATCATTCTATAGAGCAGCTGTTGGATTTGAACTGCTCACTTTAGGTAGGTGAGCATCCCAATACTTACTTAATAGCTTCACTAGGGCTCCTTTGGAATGTGATTACCAAAATAAACCCAACAAACTCACTGACCTCCAGTTGATTCCGACTCATGGGGACCCTATATGGGATAGGGTTGGACTGTGGGTTTTTAGACTCGTAATGGGTGTACAAGGTCTCATCTTTCTCCCTCAGAGTGGCTGGTGGTTTTGAACTGCTGACATTGTGGTTGGCAGCCGGAGGTGTAACCACTATGCTTTTAGGGCTTTTCTCTTGGCCTATAATTAGGCTTTATTAAGTTCTGTGGAATGCTCACGTATGTGGGTCTTTGGCAGGCTGCATTCTGGTATCAAGGAGTAATTCCTATGTTTTCAAGAAAGCAAAAGAGACAAATAAGATTCCTATTTAGTATTGTTACTACTCGGAAGGAGTTTTCTTTTTTTCCTGAATGAAAAAACAAAACCAAACCACGACAACCTGCTTTCTTTGAAATAATTGTCAGTAACTGACAATGATTAGTCTCTTCATTATTATTCTGTAGCACAACATATTTAACATATATTTGAGGACATTCTCAATTTTTTCAGGTCTCTAGGTGGCACAAATAATTTGCACTTGGCTGCTAACCAAAAGGTTGGCAGTTTGAACCCTCCTTGTGGCAGATGAGAGAACTGACAAGCAATTCCTGTAAAGGTGACGACACCCAAGAAAACCCTTTGAACTTTGCCCAGAGGATGGGTAGGGC